AGTGCCGAAGTGATGAAAGCCGTAAAGCTTCTTATAAAGACTGAGCTATGTTCGTACGCAAACTCAATGAGCGGAGCGAAGTGATTTTCTTTCCATGAAATGGAACATTAACGCGATGATATAGAAATGAAAAATAAAGCTTTTCAACTTTACTCGCTCGCTGGTTTACCCGGAACACTCTACCATACTATTGTCGAATGTCTGTTGTCCAATAACATCCATTCATTTAGTTAGTTGGGAGTAGTGGGTAGTGGGGCGAAAGCATGATACGTTGCTACAGAACTAGTGAGATCCGAAAGTCTCAACCTCGAAGTTCTGTCAAAAATTCTCCGAAACTTGCAACGCTGGATGCTTCGCTCCGCATAAGTAGCAGCGAGATTATGGGATACTCTCATCTGCCACAGAGAGTCAATTCGGTGCTCTCTGGGCCAGAGCCTCTGGCCTATGACCCTCGCTTGACTACTCATGCCTCCCAAACCAACTTAAACCGGATGCGGGCGGGTGGGTTCAGGAAAGTCCCCATTAACTAAATGGTAACTGGATATTAATCGATCCAACACCCTCCAACCACATCACAAACCATTCGCTCGTTTGTTGACCTAGCCCAATAAATTGACCTTCATTCAACTTTACTCGCTCGCTGGTTTACCCGGAACACTCTACCATACTATTGTCGAATGTCTGTTGTCCAATAACATCCATTCATTTAGTTAGTTGGGAGTAGTGGGTAGTGGGGCGAAAGCATGATACGTTGCTACAGAACTAGTGAGATCCGAAAGTCTCAACCTCGAAGTTCTGTCAAAAATTCTCCGAAACTTGCAACGCTGGATGCTTCGCTCCGCATAAGTAGCAGCGAGATTATGGGATACTCTCATCTGCCACAGAGAGTCAATTCGGTGCTCTCTGGGCCAGAGCCTCTGGCCTATGACCCTCGCTTGACTACTCATGCCTCCCCATACACTACCCACTACGATCAACAACTAAATTTGACTGCCACATAACTGTCTGTGTTTCTTGCACCCTTTACTCATTTCCTCACACTTTCTTGGTCAACCGTCGATTTTGGGATGAATCCCCCCGAGTGTCCGACGGAGACTGTCCCGAGACTCGTTCGTTACCACTCGACCGATGGGACTTATCGTGTTTGTAAACTGAAGTTATGGTGAAGAGAGTGAGGTTTTGATCCGGTCCCTATCGACCCTGGGGCAGTGGCCACCCGAATCGAGGCTCAGTCAATTCGTTGTCCATACCCGGACTATTGTGCGGTGGGCATCTGACGTACTAATGCTCGGTCCCTGTTAGCTTTGCTCCACGGTGAAGCCTTCAGTGAAGGCCCTTCATCAATGGGCTACCACCTCGAATCAGACTGAAAATTCGGATCACAAAAAATACTTAGATCATCTTAGTCGGGACCATCGAACCTCAGTAATGCCCGGATGCCTGCTGAGTCTAACCAATTATCGAGGTCTCACAAGCCTCATAATATAGCATATTGCGCCTCCTCAACTGCTCATTGGTAGACCCACCAATGGGTTCCGCGCGCACTCACTGTCCCCGATGATGATCCCCAGAACGAATAATCAGATCGATACTCCATATTACGCGATACATGTCCGCTTCCAAAATTGGAGTCACCACTCACATAAACTAACCTTTGACGCTATCGTTCACCCTCAGTCCGCTTGATAGCAGTTGAGTGAGATCCGCTAGGCTTATTTTCACGAAATGCATTTCACATCAAGGCTACCGAAAGCGAGAAGACCCAGATGTCTTCACTGCTAGAATCTCTACATTTAGCCAATGCGACCTCCGGTTAAAACTGATAGTCATAGGCCATATAGAACACCTTAGCCTCATGTTAACACACGTAAGTACGTAAGTTAGTCAGTATGAATGTTCGCTCTCTCTAGGCTAGCCAGATTCTTGGTTAGTTTTCTACAAAAGCAACCTCGTCCTCAATTAATCTACATTGTAGACTGCACAATCATTGCTCTGAGGTCGCGCGTCGAGGCGTCCGCCCACACAAGACACTTAGCGGTCTTGTGTCTCCCTTTATCGACCGCGCTGACGAGACCTTCGAACTTGAAGTCAATCACCTTTAACAATCTACTCCGATAGGTGCGAAAGCTCTCCCTCAATACTATAAACCAGCCGTACTAGACCAGCACTCATCATAGCTCTCATGCAGATCCCATCAGTGCTACTACCTACATGATAATCCATAACGCACGGTGTAGAGAAGAATATCCTTTGCTATATATACGCACTGCAGCAGTGCGTATGGCATACACCGTATGCTCCTCAGACCCATACAAAGCTCCCTATGAATGAACTCAGCTCATTGAGCTGGCGTAATGCGCTCCTCGACGAATCTTCGCTCCAACTCCGAATCGGTACCATCCTTTTCTACTCCAAACTGGGAAGGGAAATATAATATTTCAAGTATCTTCTTTTGTGCTCCACAGTCCAATCCGAAATGGACTTCGGTGCCGATCATTGGGCTCCCATAGCTTAGGATCACGTTGGTCTCGCTCTCTGGCACCTCGTAGCTCATTTAATTCTGTCAGTCATCCTTGAAACTTTCGAATCATCCCCATAATTATCTTTCAATTCCGATGATTCTAGATCTGTTACAGATCTGTTACCGATCATCTGTATAGTCTGTTGAACAGACTCTCTTCCCGACTATCATCGGTATTTAATACTCAACAGGATACCCTCGTGGTGGGGTGCACATCAGATGCCATCTGAGTCAGATGATCTGACAGATGGTGGTACTACCACCATGGTAGATGCACTATACCGAATGGACACTCTCCACTGGTTACCCTCAGAACTTTTTTTGCCAGTTGGTGATATACAATTAATACCCGTCGTACCCGTGTGCTAAGTTCACTGTACTTCAAGATTACTGAAGTACAACACGGTCCATTATCTCGAATCGAAAGAGGAGGCATCCCTCGGATCATGGCTGCCCCTCCAAAAAAAAACTCCTCGAGATCCACCGAAAAAATCCTAGTAAAACTTCCACGAGCGGTTGCTTTCGCCACGTGTTAACTATGAGGTTTTCACGGGTTTTGATGTACCATATGTCAACCTCGAAGCATCATCAAACTGAGCTCAAGTTTCCGAATCCGGAGTTCCGATAGCTCATTCTCCCACTGCAGGCATGTCAGCTTCTAGAGACGATCTAGAATGGCTGTTTACACCCTAGATTGCTCGGAGTTCAAGACTGATTCCCATGCAACGAAAAATAACTGGCTGCCTTTCCCGGTCTTAACGCTGCTCAGCACGTATTTCCCTGCCGCGCAGTGACCTCTCGAAGGGGTCTCCTCCGCTGGACACAAAAATCTGTGACGCTTCCTATACAAGTTGTATAATACAACCGCTATGTGGACTGAGTCTACAAACCTCAACTGGACCCTCACATTGTAGAATCAAATTCATCGAATCACAAATGACGATAGATCTACGCAATAAAGTTTCATACAAATCGCATCATTATTCCAGAAAGGTACGCTTTGATGGAAAAAGGACACAAGGTCCTCGCTTGAGCAGGAAATCATCCAGGAACCTATAGTGTTCCGGTGGAGAATTCGCTTTGTATTCGTCACATAACTAGAAATTTCTAGTAGAAATACATTCTTCAATCAGTTTCCTATGTTAATGTCACCACATTAGGAACATTCCCCCATCACTATCAAACTCCGGGCAACATTATTTCTCATAGCTGGATATGTTTCTGCGCTCGAGGCGCCAATTTTCGTCCTCCCATAGTTCTGTTAGTCCAAAGCTCTGCCCATAATAACCTCTCAAAGGATCCGTTTCCTTTCCTCAGCTCTTCCAACAGCAGTTTCCCTTGGCCTTCGGTTCCAAACAATACGAGTTTGACGATAGCATCACACAACACCGCATAACTGTATTACAAATCTATCGCTCTCTCAGTAATAGATGTCTCCTACGTTAGACCGCCAACGCCTCGTCATCTATCATCGTAAATGATAGCAACGTCTTAAGTAACCCAGATCACTTACTTCTCAAAAATTTTTACTCTTAATTTCTACCACGCGATCTACCACGCGATATGACGGTCTTTTTTCCAAACGCACTCAAATAATTTGAGTCAAATTGGGCTTCTGTTCATAGTACCCTCCGAGAAACCTTTACCCTTTCCGAACCCTTCATCTTTGCTCCCAATTCCGGGCAAGCCTTTTCCTTTCCCATCGAGACAATTCTTGTGGTGATGGGGTTTGAACTCACACTCTCTCCTAACTAGGACCTGGCAGTCCTCATAATAATACGGACAGAATCCCTTGGTGCCCGATTCGTGTCCCCGCTTCCACGATAGAGAGCTCAAACTACTCCCCGCGATGACTCTGGCGTAGGCCTCAGAGTCTTGAATTTCACTGAGGCAAATGACGATGGCTCTGTTATATGCCACTTTCCGCTCTCTCGCGACAGAGCGCGCTCGATCAACCAGGTTTTTCCTTAGCTCTATGTCGAATGATACAAAGGCACGGTCGTTAGTGACATTAGCTAGCTTGCTTAGCAAGCCTTGTAGCCGGCTCACGTAATTGAATCCTGCTAGTAAGGCTTCTGAGTCTACTGTGGTGGCTAACGCACATAACCAGGGTATCAACGCGCTCGGTAACTCCACCACATTGTGAGGCGTTTCAATTCACGATAAGTTGGAGGGTGCTACACCATGGCTCTAATACGCTGTTCTCCAATCCTCATTCTTTCTGGAGGCTCACCTCCTAGGCGCTCATAAGCCATTCCATGAAATTCTGTCAGGAGCAGCAGCTGCCCCGCAGCTCATAAGCCATACTCAGGATAATGATGATGTGTTACATCCCACCTCCTATACCGGTGACTCACATTTCCATTCAGCAACGAATAGACAAGGCGAGTTCTTACGATGTGGATAACCGCCAACCAAATACGAGCGGAATATAAACCAACTCCACTACTCAACGAGATATAAACTTTTTCAAATCGCTATGCTAGATGGTAAGCGAAGTCAGACTCACGCTGCAACCCGATATTTCGAGCCAGGCAAGTCAACGTTCACTTCCCGCGAAACACACGATTTCCTCCTTGCTATGCTATATGTCGGATGTATTATGTCCCAGTCATCCGCGCAACGTGGATCTATAGTATAGATTCTATAAACGTTGTGTGGAACACGATGTCATTCAGCCCCGATTGGAGACATCCAATTTTCTTATAACATTGATATCCAGCTTCAACGAGCTTCAACCAGCTCTCAAACTATTGCATCTAACCTTGTCACTGGTAAGTTCTCAGCGAGGAATTCTCACATTATCACCCTCCGTTATCCCCATTCTCATGAAATTGAGTCAGGCGAGTCAACATCCGCGCATCAGAACATCTCAAGAAGAGGTTATACATCATATTTCGTATCACGTGCCGATGATTTAAAACCTTGTATCAGTTCAACGAATGCTTGTGGAACCCATTGACAGAGCAAATAGAGCTCATTTGCAATGCGACGTCACTACCCGAGGTTCAATCCACTAAAAGCAATACAAAAATGCTATAATCACTCTATTAGATGGTAAGTAAAGGCAGACTCACGCTGCAGCTCGATAAGTTCGAACCAGGCAAGTCCACGTTCACTCTAGAGTCGAGAAGCCTAACAAGGCAAGTCAACATTCACGCGCCCGAACCTCGTATAGTATATTATATTTCGTACTACGCATACGTGATGTATTTTATACCACGTACCGATGATCACAAATCACATGATGTGATTCACATCAGTTCAAAAATATTTCAGGGACTCACTGACGAGACGAAATTGACCCCGCAATGCGAAACTTAGTTACCAGTACTCACCGAGATCCAAAGATTGACATTCAACCACCACATCAGTCAGGGGTTGAGTTTCAACGATTGAAATTTAACTCACTCAAAGAAATAAAGCATTTTAGAGTCGTTAGGCTAGAGCATGGTACGTGAAGTCGGACTCACACTGCAACCCGATACAACAAGCCAGGCAAGTCAACTTTCACTACTAGCTCACCCACAATCATTGCAGGATTGTGTCATTATGGCATTCAGCCCTTCCAAATTGGCATTCAGCCCTCTCACAATGGCGTCCAGCCATCTCAGATTGGCATCCAGCCATCTCACATTGGCATCCAGCCATCTAACATTGGCATCCAGCCATCTCACAATGGCATCCAGCCATCTAACATTGGCATCCAGCCATCTCACAATGGCATCCAGCCATCTAACATTGGCATCCAGCCATCTCAAATTGGCATCCAGCCATCTCAAATTGGCATCCAGCCATCTCACATTGGCATCCAGCCATCTAACATTGGCATCCAGCCATCTAACATTGGCATCCAGCCATCTCAAATTGGCATCCAGCCATCACAAATTGGCATCCAGCCATCTCACATTGGCATCCAGCCATCTCACATTGGCATCCAGCCATCTCACAATGGCATCCAGCCATCTAACATTGGCATCCAGCCATCTCACATTGGCATCCAGCCATCTCACAATGGCATCCAGCCATCTCACATTGGCATCCAGCCATCTCACAATGGCATCCAGCCATCTAACATTGGCATCCAGCCATCTCAAATTGGCATCCAGCCATCTCACATTGGCATCCAGCCTCCCCTTAGTGGCGTGTAACCCCCAGCCAAACGACAATTCAGAATTTCGACCGAATCCAACGACCATATCTACGATAACATCTAATGAATTTTCCATCTCTTACAGTGAGCGCTTCAAAGGAAGAACGAATCACAACTATCCGAGAGGTCATATCACACTGAATTCGACGCATTCGAACCAGGCGAATTGACAACTACGGTAGCGCGAAACACCAAGTATATTACACCTCCCTTTCGAGTAGAATCTGTCTCGCTATTAAACCCATAGTCCCCATTAGAATAAATTTTTTTTTTAATCGTCGACCCGAAGCGAGAGATGGCAAACGCTACCTCCCAAGAGTACTACATTACAACTAGTGCCTGAGCTTTAGTCAGAAGCCCTGTAGGCTCCTGTCCAGGGACGCCGCGTGGAGGCACTCAGGAAAGTCCCCATTAACTAAATGGTAACTGGATATTAATCGATCCAACACCCTCCAACCACATCACAAACCATTCGCTCGTTTGTTGACCTAGCCCAATAAATTGACCTTCATTCAACTTTACTCGCTCGCTGGTTTACCCGGAACACTCTACCATACTATTGTCGAATGTCTGTTGTCCAATAACATCCATTCATTTAGTTAGTTGGGAGTAGTGGGTAGTGGGGCGAAAGCATGATACGTTGCTACAGAACTAGTGAGATCCGAAAGTCTCAACCTCGAAGTTCTGTCAAAAATTCTCCGAAACTTGCAACGCTGGATGCTTCGCTCCGCATAAGTAGCAGCGAGATTATGGGATACTCTCATCTGCCACAGAGAGTCAATTCGGTGCTCTCTGGGCCAGAGCCTCTGGCCTATGACCCTCGCTTGACTACTCATGCCTCCCAAACCAACTTAAACCGGATGCGGGCGGGTGGGTTCAGGAAAGTCCCCATTAACTAAATGGTAACTGGATATTAATCGATCCA